CTATGTGTACTGCTATGTACAGGCAAAACAGTGTTCCTGCACCCATCTCATCAAAAGCAGCACGCCGTATGCTTCACAGAAAGGTACAAAATCCCATTTGATTGTAAAATGGGGAAAAATTGGCTCATTGAGCAATATGGGTGCTTTAAAAATATTCTAGACTTAGTATTTCAGTCTTTGTCCAGCTTCTTGGGGATTGATAATGTTGATTAAGCTGACTTCTGAACCAGTCGTACGACTAGATTGGTCTGGGCAATGAACACATACTCAGCTTGCCTTACCTGAGGTTCATGTCCCCTTTTAGTGCCAGGCTAAAGATGTTGGAGAGGTTTCCCCCCGGGCAGCAGCCACAGATGAGGATGGCCAGGGACTCTGTAGCACCCAGGGGGAAAAGCTTGCCCAATACGAATGCTGTCAAGGGCATGATGCCATACTGAGCCATTACAGCAATTGCCACACCTTTGGGTTTCCTGAGGTGAGTTGTGATCTTGGCTATCTCCATCGTACACCCCAGAGATACCATGATGATGAAGAGGACCACAATAAGGATTGCATTCAGGGCTTTGTCTGTGGCCTGCTGGCCGAATGCAAACGGTGGTGCCACACTGGTCAAGGAGGTGTTCTGCGTGTGACCTGGGCTCCAAAGCTCTGGGCTCTCAGAAGCTCCCTTAGTCTTGTTCATCCTGCGGAAGGGTTTAGAGGTCCCTTCTTCTGTAAGTTGCTGGGAAGGTGAGGAAGGGATTGATTCAGAAGTCCAATTAACATCCAATTAATGCAAGCAAAACATGAGTTCTCCTTCAGGCCACCACTGTTATCATTCAGCAGCTGTTGAAACAGAAATCCACCTTTGAGCAATCAGCTGTGAACCCCATTCACTTCAGTAATACGTTGTGCAGTTTGTGTAGCTTCTGCTACACAAGAGGTCCCCCATCTCTTCCAGTGTCCACTCTCACCATGAGAATGAGGACATAGCTGGTGAGAGTGAGAGGGAGACTCGTTCAAAACTGGTAAAGATGGGCACTTCATACAAAGGAAAATGAACCAGAACAACTCTCGTCTACAAGATACTGCCGAAGCCAACGCTTAAAAATATGATGCATCCAGGGTACTTTACTTTTAACGAGGGTTATAAAGTGCTTATGCTTCTGGCCATAAATCGATCTCTCAATAGGAGGGCTAGGAAGAAACTTTTTCCATGGACAAGTAGTTTCTCTAGCAAACTCTTAGGGACCTTCATGTCTCTTTTCCTGATGCGATAAGTCTGACACTGTCTTGAAATTTTTTGATTGCATATAAGAATGAATTCTCCAACCCTCACCAACATAAAAAATATTATTCCCTCCATAGCATTGAGGGGAGGTTCTGTGTGGCAGGAGCCTCAACCGACCTCTGCAGTGCAAAGCTGTGCCCACTGCAGCGCAGCAGTGCTGCTTTCAGGGCCTGAGGTGCTCTGCATCGTGATCCAGCAAGCGGTGCAGGCATCACCCAAGCCCTCCAAGCAAAGCCAAATAGGCAGCTTTTGCCCACCCCGGACTGTAACCTGCCTTGTGCTCTCAGTACAAGGCTGCACAGCACAACATGCACGCAGAGCTCTAGTGTGCAGGGAAACGGGAGCTGGGCAACTGGTGCTCAGGCAGGAAGGGGGACCAGAGAGGTGGCTGGTGAAGATTGTTCCTCCAGCTGCTGCAGAGGTGACCTCTGCTCATCCCCCCCACTGCTCCCTGTCCCCTGGCTGTACAGGGGATGTGCTTCCCTGCATCTGCCACGCTGGGGAATGGCACATTGCCTGCCCCGTCCCCAGGTGCCATGCTCCCTGATCCCTCTGCAGGCTTTGCCTTCATTTAAGGCATTTACTGCCTTCAAATCAACCTGAGACAACCCTCGTTCTGGTGTGGGACTCTAGAAACACAAAGCTGAGCACATTAAACTAGAGCGAAGCGAATGCCATTACCTTACAAGCCTGTGGATGCGGCTGTAGGAGGCTTCGGTGAGATTACCCGTGGCTCTATCCTTTCCTGGCCGAGCTCGGTGAGCGATAGCACTTTTCGGTCCTTCTGCTTCAAGAAAATCTTTCCCCCTTGGCAAAATCTTTTCCTCTGCTTGTAGAATACAAAGCCTGGGTCTAAAAGAGCCTTGTAGATAGGGAAGTTGTTAATTGATAGTTGTGTTATAGGACTGCAGTCTTTTTCTCTCTGCTGCAGGACTGGGGAAGGGATTTTAACCAGGGAGGTCTGCTGCAATATGGCTGAGCTCTAAACCCTTTGCTGAAGGGCATTATAATGCTGCAGCAATGTATCCATCGCTCCTATTCATTTGGGAGCTCAACAGGCTCAACCTCTCCAGCCCCATTGCTCTGGAAACGTCGCTGGTGGCAGGCAGGAATGTCAGAGCCGTTCTTCCCCACTTGCTCTTGCTTTGATTGGGAACTTTGTTTTCCAGGCTGGCAGCCAGGACGGAAAAGCACCGACAACAGCTCTGGAGCCCAGCACGGGCATCCCCCATCGGGCAGGGAGGAGTGGTGCCTGCAGCAGTGCAGGACAGAGCCCTGCTAGCAGCTCCCAGTGGCTCTGTGCATCCATGCCTGTGGCTTCTCCCACACCCTTGTGAGCACCACACCACCATGTTTGGGAACAAGGGCCCTCCCCGTAAATCGCAGGTGGTGCTTTGAGACCTCTCTGTCACTGTGGTGGCAAAAAGTACTGACCAGCCTCGTTGCTTGGGTCCTGGCTAAGCAAACAGGAGGAGGTAGCCTGCAGTACTGCACACGTTTCATTTTTCCTTGGGCATCTGCAAGATTTCCAGGCACAAGTAAGGGCTGCTCAAGTAGCACATGGCCAAGGCCCATAGGAATTAGGAGAAAATGCAGAAGCAAAGCCCACAGCAATTCCTTCTCTCTTTCTCTCCCTCCCTTCAGGTTTTTCTCCTGTAGATCCCCAGTCATCCTAAGGAAATGCTTGTTTTCACTGTGTTTGCCTTTTAGCTGTGCACTGAATTTTGTCAGAAGATGTGAGAAAGGTCAAGTCAAACAATTAACTGGTTATAAAGCGTCACTGCCTCGGCAGCGCTCAGACCCCCCTGGCAAGCTCAGTGCAGCTCAGGGTTTTAAAATGACGATATTGTAATGCTCACACCCTTTGTCTTTGCAGGGCTGTAGAAGAATGTTTCAGCTACCCCAACAATTAAAAAAATGCCTGCTAGTTGTTTGCTCTTCAAGCGTTCCTGCTGGTTCCCAGTAGTTAACACAGGAAACGCCATGGGAACCAAGGGAGAGACTGGTCAGGAGAAGCAGAATAAATTAGGATCATTTCATCCCGATTCATGCTGGGGACGTCCAGTTGTTTTACACGGGCACTGGAACTGGGGGTTTGTGTTCAGACATGGCTAAAGAGCCGCATCTGAGCTCTAAAGCTGCTGCTCGCTGCAGTGGGACCTGGGACCTGGGAGGTGGGACCACTGAGGAGTGTGGCTGGAGGAAGGAGCAGGCTCCCATGCTGAGAGGCAGTGGGGCCCAGGTGGTGCATGAGCATTCTGCGGGTAGTCTGCGATGGGCTGCTACTGACCTGATGGCCACGTCATCTACCTCGGTTCAGAGGAGGCTTTGGCTTCGGAGGAGCTGCCTGCTTGGCAAGCAAGCCCCTAGTTTCATCCCTAGGCAAAGCGTGCTTTTTCCTTCCTTTGACCGCTTTCCAGGCTCGGTTCTTAAAAGGTGAATTTCTAGATGTTCTTTAAATGGTCTCCTTTATGTCCCCTCATGGCCCAAATATGCTCAAACAGCTTTCCCCCCAGCGCAAAGGCCTCTTTGCCTTTGCCTGTGCCCTTGCTCTGCACAAAGCTAAGGAGCTTCGTGAAAGGTCCTGCACAGCTCATGCCACTTGAGGGCAGTGGTTGCATGCCCAGAGCCTCGTTGCTCCCTGAGGATAAAAGACCTCCTAAAACAAAGTCTCGCCGTAGGTGCCATCGCTTAGATCATTTTTATTAAGTAAGTCAGATACTCCCAAATTCAGAGATATGGTCTAATACAAAAGGCATCACAGGATGCTTAACAAACGTGAGGCATTAAAGGAGATACTTTAAAAAACCCCGTATACAAGTTTGCAGACTTCCTGTTGGAGCTCAAAATGAGCTGTGTTGTGGACTTTTTTTTAAAGACACCAGAGGAGTCAGTGCTTCATGCTCTCATAATGCAGCTTCGTAAATTCACTGGATAAATATGAAACGGCTCTCGTGCCCCTTTCACTGGTGGGAGCTGAGGTCCAGTTTTCCAGTTTGCAGGTGGGATCATTGTTTCTTCTGTGTTTTTACAGAATTTAACATAACTTGAACTCAGCCGAGTTGTTACCCAAAGGCCATACTTCAGCAGACGTGCCCGATAAGAGCAGCGGTGACTTGAGTTGTGCCACATTTCACACTATGTTGGCTCACAATTCGAGACGTGACCTTGGCATCCAGTGCCCATATTTTGCTCAGGTAAGGTTTTCTCACTGTATGGTTATGTGCTTGGCTAATCAATTTGCTCATTTCTGTGTGCTTTTGATCCAATTTGCCCACCACAGCCCTGCCAACACAGAGGGCACTGTGTTGGAATGGCTGTCAGGGGATTGAAGACAGAGGGCTTCTGCAGCGACAGTAATGACTTGTCATGACTTATTCCAGCTGTGGCTCCCCCATGCCACGGTTTTGGTCCTATCCATGTTTTTTCACTTCTGCCATCACCTGAGGATGCAGCCCACTTAAATGGGATGCCCCACAATTAAAATCTAGGTCTGGTCTGCCCTGTCATGAGAAAAGTTTTGTGTTTGGGGTGGTGGTTAGCACTGCTTGTGTCTGAGCCCACTGCGATAGGGTCAGAAACGAGAACAAACTGAACAGGCTTGTCTTGAGATGCAAACCACTCACCACATGGTGTGGAGCCATCTGGGCAAAAGCTGCCACGTACCATTGGCCAGAGCAGATGTAGCCTGATGCCACAGTGATGGCCACACTCCCCTCTCCTCATCCCCATGCCGGGTGCCATTGTGTTGCCATGCCAGCTCCATGTTGGGGACGGCTACTCGGCGTGTCATGGGGAAGGGGCACATCTGGAGCGGGACAGGGTGAAGGGGGCTGGAGAGGCTCCCCCAGCTCTGCACGGTCCTGCCGGCTCCCTGCAGCAGGGCTGGAAGCCCTGCCATGATAGCAGCAGCATGCCCTGGAGGCTTCCCGCAGCCACCAGGATGTGCCGGAGATGGGCGGCGGTGTGATCTGCAGTTCACTGCCCAGCTGTGTCTGCTGCGGCATCCCGGCACCCCACGGCAGGGCGGCTGGGACCACGCGCCCCTGCCTTCCCGGTGACAGCCATGCCCTGTCCCCCACCCCCGGGCATTTCCTGGCTCCCTGCCCTGGCGGCGCTACTCTCTTAGCGGTCCTGAACACAGACAGGAGCCAAAGTTGTTTATATTTGTTCAAATCACATTTAGCATCTATCAGGCTTAAAAATCCCATGACTACCCTCTTATACAATTTTGTTTGATAGGAAAATAATTAATTTTGCAATTAAGCTGTGCCCAGAACAAATGATGTAAGAGCACTCCGTATGGGTTAAATTAGTGCCTGCTGAGACACAGTGCCAGCATCTGTCTGGTTTAGTGACACTTATTTTAAACAGCCAGAGGAGGGAATAGTGTACTCTCCTGTGATTTTAGTGATGGCTTTGTCTCAGCGGGAGACCCAGAGAGGACTTGGCAGTGTCAGCTGGAGCACACTCTGGTCGGTCAGCAGTGAAAAAGGAGCTTACTCTGATGCTTCTTCTCTGTTTTAGGGAGATTGTTTTAAATTTGAGCTTGCTGGCCAGGTGGGCATTGCTTATGCCTCGAGTGGTGTGGGGAGCTCTGGAGAAAGGAAAGCTGCTCCCGAGAGCGTGAGTGAGGCACTTCAGCCATTGAGACCAATATTTCAGTAGGTGGCCTCTTCCTCCTAACTTCTAGAGCAAGGCTTTCACCAGCACCATGAAGGGCCTTGGTGGCAGGGAAGGGTCCTGCCCTGTCCTTTCAGCGGTGTTACTACTCTAAGGGGTTTTAAGTTACTCCAGACAAGAGAGGTCCACTTCTGGAGAAGGGTGATTTTTACAGTTAGCAAACACAGGTTGCCGTGGATTTCTGACCGCTGTGATAGTTGCTTGGTTTTCTCTAAGGAGCCCGTAGCAGCCAGTGCAACATGGTGATACGTAGGAGAGGCTCTGTTTTCCCTCAGGGGGGAGCAGTCTACAGGTCTGGGCAGAAACCCCCGTGCTGATGGGAGGGGGATCCTTGCATGGGTTGAGGGGAGCACTGGGGGCACCCCACGTTCCCAGATACAGAGGGTGGTTCTGGCTTTGCCACCCATGCCCGCAGGAAGGGTGTCAGCGTGGTGCTGGAGCAGGTTCACTTTGAGGGTGGACATTTTTTGAGGGGGAACTCCACAGAAGGAAGTGTGTTCAAGTCTGTGATGCTTATTTTTCTCCATGGGAAAAGAAATATTGTTTATTGTCTATTGTAGTCACTTATTAACTACGTAATTAGTGGGTCTAGTTAATCTTGACTGTTTCATTTCCTTAGGGACCAGATGTTAAAGACAGCTTCATAAAAATTTGACAGCTTAAGTTTCCTTGAAACCTTGGTAAAATGCTGTCAGCAGGACCTTCCTTAAGCCTGTATCTGATCCATATAGCCTTGACTATTGCACTTAGCTTTATGGGAGAAATGAGCCTCGCCTGCTGTTCTTCTGACCTTTGCAGGGTGATGACTATTCAGAAAATGCTGTGTTTTCTCTGGGTCAGGTGAGAAGCCTCTTTGGCACGAGGTTGGGAGAGCTGATCTGGGCGGCAGAAGGTTTCCTAGTCCCTTGCCCAGCTTCCAGCTGTGGATGCCGTACACCTGTGAAATGCAATTGCACCTTGAGCTGAGGTGAGTGTGCTTCATTTGCATCAAAGCTTATATTTTAAATAATTTCATTGGGTAGATTGTGCTCGAGTTCTACCTCCATAGCTTTAAACTGCTCCATCAGTGAAATGAAGTAGCTCTTTTTCCTACATGATGAATATGAAGATTTAATAAAGAAGATGGCTAAGAAAGTGGGAGGTAAGAAATAAGGTGATCAGGAATAGCCAAGGATTACTGAAAGTGTCCAAAACCCTTATGCAAACACCAGGGGAGAACCAGGAGGTCTAGAAAAAGGCAGATTCATCACCTAGTCTTTCCCTTCCTGTTGCTCCCCAAGCTCCCATCTGAAGGGCAGCCAAATTGCCTTGATAAGAGAGAGAAATTTCTGTGTCAAGGAGAAGGCATGGAAACTACCACCAGGGTTTAATCTTAGAAACAAGCCCCCCGGTGGCTGAGTGGGAGACTCCTCTGGTGGGCGCAGAGCAAGCAGTGCCACAGAGCCACTCACTTTGGTGCCTGCATGCGAGGGCTCAGTGGGAGAGCCAGGGGTTCCCTTGCAGCACGCATGCAGCGCCGGAGGAGAGTATCCCATGCTCCTCGGTGCCTTTGCAGGTGTCAGTGGGATGCCAGCAAAGCCTAGGTCCTGACATGGCTTTGGAGACCATCCTCGAGCTGCTGAGACAATGCTCCAGCCAGTAACCAAGCAGCTTTAGCCGCCTGGAAACTTTAATCCTCACCTGTGAATCAATTTGTGTAAATTATCTGTTGACATGCTGACCTCCATATCCTCTCGTACCTCAAGTCTGTTGTGATGCCCTCAGCCACCATCCTTCCCAGCATGAGGAGGAAAAATCTCTCTTTTGGAAAACAAAAAGAAAATATAATTTAAGTAATGCAGTCCAAAACAGAGCTATGTTTAAGTGCATACCTGAGTTTGTAGGACCAAGCTGACACTTTGGAGTTACAGGGCTAATAAGAAAACGGTGCTGCCACTGTGGAGCCCATGGCTTTGCCTGGTTCTTGTCTGCTCCTTTGGCATCCTTGCGTCACTGACTGCGGTGCCTGGAAATGATCTTGTTTCTCCTCTCTCTTCCTCTTGTGGTTACTCACAGACTTTGCAGGAAAGCTGGAGACTGTGCGTATTAGAAGATCAGACTTCTCTCTCTCCCATAGGTGTGTTAGGAGCTTTGAGAAGAGGACGTGTTAGCTTGCTTAGCAGCGAAGAGCTCCCTGAGAAGCAGAAATGGCTGCAGCAGCCACATGGCACCAGTTCATGGGGCTCAGGACCAAGACAGCCATTGAGCGGATGGCTGGGGTTGGTCCAGGTCTTTCACCCTGCTTTATCACCGTCTCCTGTGTGGGG